GTTTTAAAGGAAATTCCGTTAATATTATTTAACATCAAAATCCATATTAATTGGCTAATGCAAGAAGCCATGAAAATCCAAACAAAATAAAGTATGAACCACTCCCAGAAAAGAATGTTATTCGCCATTTGGTTGATAAAAGAGCCAAAGAATATATGGAGGAGTTGTAATTGAAGGAAAAAATATTGAAAAAACTGGTTATTCATTATTATTTTCTGTTCCTATTTCATATATAAAATAATGCCATTGTATCAACAACACTGAATATTCATCTCCAAATTATCTAATTTGATCATCTTCATTTGTCATGTATCTCTTTTTTATGGGAAACTAATACGAATAAGTAGATATTTCAAATCCATTCTCGTCAGGTACATTACTCTGGTAATATTTTAATAGTAGATCTCTATCTCCTATCTTAACATCATCGCCATAATCTGAATTCACTGTTACTCTAAAAATAGTAGTCTCCAAAAAGGTTTAGGTTGTTTGTGCTAACATAATCCAACCTTTAAAAATATAATAAGGCCTTTAAATTTCTTGGGTTGATATTTTAAGATATTAACTTCCTTCCATTTTTTGATTATTTTCGCCCACTGTATAAGTCCTCCCATAACAAGGTATATAACCATACAAACTTTAAGTGCATGAGTTTATATCTAAGAAAACATTTTACGACTTAGCTGACAACATACTAGTGAGAGATCCCTTGAATTGGCTTAATAATATCAAATTGCCATCCTAATTCCTATATGAATAAACACTTCCCACTTTATGTTTTAATTTTTATACATACTTTGGTAAATCATTTACAACTTAAATAGATAAAGCTTCTTTAGAATTGTAAAATCCTATGAGAGTTTATTTTTTGATATTGTCAAAATAACAATAAAACAATATCCATTAACCTTCATATAAAAAAATATCAAATTCGAAGGATAAAGTATCGATTAAAGTATTAAAAGAGTAAAATACTTTGTTACTAATTATCTATTTATTTGAATCTATGTCAGCTGAAACCACCAACCATGTAAATTTATCGTTGCTTTACTCAATTGAATAAATAAATTGACCTCCTTCAATAATGATTTATTCCTTTAATTTACTGAAATCTTAGTAGACTCTATTAGCTAGAAGATGATAAAATTAGTCTTTACATAGCCCTCCTATCTTTGTCAATGGTTGATAATTCATCCAAACTCCAAACCCAGTATTAGTCTATCCTTAAATGATATCTTAAGTTAAGGCTTAATCGATAGAAAATTAATTGTTGCCTTTACCTAAAAGAGGGAAGAAGGTTGAAAATTTACAATAATTTTACACACATCTATAAAATATGAATTTTTCTTACTAAAATAATAAGATGAAAAGCATCAAGTCAAAAAAGTTGATAAGCATTAATGTCGATTCAATATTATTTATAAATAAAATTGAATTAATTCAAGAATCAATTCGATAATCCCTTTATATACTTAACATCCAGTTTCAAACACCAATACTAATTTAATATTGTATTTTTTCAAAGCTTTAAGGCAAATTTTGAGTGATAATGTCATAGTATTACTTGCAAATTTAATAACTTAGCGATAAAAATTTTCAACCGTTATTCACCTTTTAGGTTAGTTAAATTAATTCATAATGAATAATTAACTTCTAAAAATTCTTTATTTAGCAAGTAGACGCATAGTTCTGTTTTTAATTTCATGCTTGAACTAAAGTAAATCATATGGGTAGTTTGTAAAACTAGTAAAAATATATATAATTATTGATAATTTTACTTCAGGAAATAATTTATAATTATTTACTTTATAGAAATAATTATCCTTTAAAAATATCAATATTGATGGGATATATTTTTGATCTATTATCAAGGGCTAAGATTCTGTCAAACATCAATTCATGTTCTTAACGCTCTTTTAAAACTCAGAACTTTTGAAATTTTATTCAGCTTTCTAATTGTTAAAAATTTAAGAAGAAAACCAAAAGGTTAATAGTAGTTTTTCTGTCAAAATACTGGAGCATATGATTTGTGGAGTGTTGCCTCGTAACT